TTTTGTGTTTGACCTTGTGTGCTACTTAGCATTTGCTGGTGTCTCTTGAGCACCCTTACTTGAGGTGTCTTTCTGAGCACCCGCACCTGCATGGCTATCCAACCTCTTTGACAACTAACCTCTTTGATATTTTGACACAGTCAATTTTTTATTACCCTATAAAAGTGACATTTCATATCAGGTTAGACGCTCGTTCACCCGATCCATGTTTTCTAGTCAAACCATTCAAATATTTGATTAGAACCTCAATATTTTCCTCAATGAGAGTTGTCTTAGCCAACTCTTGCGGAAATATCTATTGATACTTCCTCATGCAAGAATTAGCTTACTAGTTTTGAGGAATTCCGACTCGATTGATTTTGTTCATCTTGTTGAAGGAAATGTTGTATCAATTGTTTAAACTGATTTGTGTCTTCTTGAGATATATGATACATCCCCAACAAGAGTTAGTTTGCTAATTTAAAGGAATTGCAAAAGTCATGTTGCTAGTGCTTGTATGAGCGCCCTTAAGGTTGGACCATTATGTTTATTCAAACCCCTTGATATTCTTGATCGACATGGTTAATTCTTATTACCTTGTCGAGAACATGTTGTATCAGCTTTTCCTATCTGATCCCTGTTTCATTGGAGTACCTCGATACTCGACTATATTATGATGCTTACTATTTTGATGGGATTACCTCGGCCAGTTAAATTTGATGCCCTTCAGAAGAAACATCTTACCTTGCTTAAATTGCTCTGTACATCTAGCAAATATGTTGAATATGCCACCTCGAGTTATTTTGCCTTGTGGTCACTTTTTTGATGCTCTACTCGTATCGACTTTCTAGTCAATTCTTCGTACGAGAGCATCTTTGATGGTTGAGATTACTCATGTTAGTTGAACCCTTCTCCATCGACTAAACTACTTTGGCAATATAGTCTGATGTATAGTCAGGACACACTCCTGATCTTTTTGAGACATAGTCAGGATACATATCCCATTGACTATTTGATATATGGCCGGGAGATATTTATATCTCCCTGACTACATGAGAATGTTTCAATCAATGTAAATATCACTCTCATTTGACCAACCCTTGATCAAAATGCCTCATTTCGAGGCAAATCGGGCTTTATAGTCGCTTGGTTTTGAAGTCTCTTGAACCGCATGACTTTATAATCGGTTCTTTTATGAGAGCATTATTGGCGTTACAGACATTTGATTTCAATGTCTCTTGAGCCGTATGAATTTTTAATTTGGCTCTTCTATGAGAGCATCTCTGGCGCTATAGCCACCTGATATGATGTTTCTCGAGCCATAAGACTCTTTAGTCGGTTTTTTTTATGAGTACATCTTTTCTTTTGATAACTTCAGCTTTACAGCCATATGTTATGATGTTCTAGAGCCATATGACTCTTTAGTCTACTCTTTTACGAGAACATCTCGTCTTTTGACGCCTTCAGCTTTATAGCCACCTATTGCGGCACTTCTCGAGTCATATGACACTTTAGTCGACTCTATTTTGAGGACATCTCATATTTAGACGCTTTCAACTTCATAGCCACCCATCACCATATTTCTCGAGCCATATGACCTTTTAGGAGACTTTGTTATGATGATAGATTGTCGATTGACATTTTTGGCTTTATAGCCATTTGATTTTAATATCTCTCAAACCATATGACCTTTTGGCCGATTCTTTTATGTAAGCATATGTGGCTTTATTGCCACATATTGTGATGTTTCTCAAGCTATATATGCATGATCCAAGGAAGCGCAATGTATCAGATTATGAGATACTTGAAGAGTACACCAGGAAAGAGTTTAATCTTCAGGAAGAACGAGCACATAAACATTGAGGCCTATTGTGATGCGAACTGGATGAATTGTGCAGATGACAGAAGATCCACCTCAGGATACTGTGAATTGTGCAGATGACAAAAGATTCACCTCAGGATACTGAATGCTTGTATGTGGCAACTTGGCGTCTTTGAAGAGCTAGAAACAATCTATAGCAGCGAGGTCAACAACAGAGGCGTAGTACAGGCCATGGCCTCAGAAGTTGTCAAGATGATGTGGTCGAGATTTGTATCTTTTGCCCATCTTTTTTTGAGGGGTCTAATTTTAAATAAGAAATATAGAAGAATTTTAGGGGTTATTTGTAAAAAGTTTTGAGGCTTTATAGAAGCCCAACTCATAAATGAAGGAAATATGCTTTTTCCTTATGTAATCATTTCTTCAAGAGGTATTGAGTCATGGATTGTGTATTAATAAAAAGATTATGAAGCTCGTTTTCCAACTAGATTATCCTTGATCTATTTGTTGGTCGAAGGCGTTCAGCTAAGATATTCCAAATTTCAGTGGTGGTGGATATATGAAGCACATAAGGCGAAATTGCAGGAGAGATAATAGAGAACAAAGCTGCGGTCAGGTTTTGATTAATTAGGATCCAACTTGAATATTGAGGGTCGAGTGTTAGGGTATCTCCACTGGAAGACAAAGATTTAAGTGGACATGGAATGCTTCCTTGTAGAAAGCCCAGAAAACCATTTGCCGAAAAGGTCTTGAGTACTTGTGCTCTCCATATATGATAATTCTCAATTATAAGAGGGTTTTGATTGAAATTTTTCTGGTTATTTAGTAGGACTTTCAGTGCAAGAGGTATAGCATTAGTTGGTATTGTTTCCATGAAGGGAGAATTATGAGCTTTGGATAATGGGGAGGTCGACATTTTAGGTAGCTAAAGGATGGATTCGGTATAGAAGATCAGATAGAGAATGGATTGGGATTCACTCTTCTATAGAGGACCGAGGTTGAGGATAAATAAAGGAACGGTGGAGGGAGGAAGATAGGAGTCCTTACTCTTCTGTATAAGCTCGGGATTGACTATCCAAGGTTGTCGATGAAGATCGACTGCCACTCTCTGCTTCTTGGTGTCTCAGAACTTATTATCTTGATAGTGACAAATCTACTTCTTATGATAATAGGAGGGAGAGAAAAAGAGTAGTAAAGAGAAAATAACAGTTGGAGAATGCATTCTCCAAAGAGATAGGTGATGTAGAAGCACCAAAGAAGTTTAAAATTCTAGTTCTGAAGTTTTACAGAGGGAGATCAAATCCTATGTTTCATATTGCAGCGTTCAAATCTATAGTCTGCTTATTGCAGATCAATGATGTGTTTAGGTGTCTTTTGCTCTTTTTGACTCTTAAAGAGTCAACCCTTTGTTGGTTCAATAATCTAGCACAAGGGGTTATCACTTCTTTCATTGGTAGGCAAGCGGATAGCAGACTCATCATGTTATCCACAATTAATTCGACTCAAGTTGCAGTGTAATCTTTATTGAATGCCAAAATTCTCTTGTGCTAAAAACAGTTTCAGGAGGTGGCGTAATTTTCTTCTTCTTGGAGTGAGGCTTTGTGTTTTCAACTTTATCAACAACAAACTTTACGTTATAGCGAGTTTCCTTTTTCTTCTTCAAGATGGTCTCTCACAACCGAAACACACCAAGGCAAGCTCCATTAAACAGCCTGACAAGACCAAGGTGGAGTGCTCATTTCTTATAACTACCTAGGGGTAATTAGGTAATCAGGTATGTGCAGCTACAAGAATATTCAACACTGCATATATATACCCATCATGTTCTATTCTCTGGTAAGTAATAATGAAATGAAGTAGCTGCTCTCTTGCAGTTGGTATTCTTTCCTTCTGTGTTATTGATTCTGAAAAACTAAATGACATCTAGATTTGTGATATCACCTGTGACACATGCTATAGTATTTCGCGGATTATTTCCATCATCTGCTCATTCAGATCATTTATCAGCTGCACGGCGAACTCCCTCATGCATTCCCTGTTAACAGAATCTTCTTCGCTATTGGGTTTTGCTCCGCTAATAAGTCTTCTAATTTGTGGCATATTTTATGCTTGCCGCATCTTTGAATATGTTGGATCTTGATTTGTATGTGGAACCACATCATCTCGGAAAGAGATGGTAAAGAGCAATGGAAACTCAAGAAAACAAAGAGAAATAGTAAGAATTTGGGAGAAAAGATCAGAGAAAATCACCAAGTCTCCAATAGATTATATAGAGAAAACTTTGAGAGATTATGGATTCTCGTAACTTGAAGTAGCCTCCCCTATTTATAAATTTGGGGAGGCTCGAATGTGCTACGTTAATTACTACACGAAAGAGAATAAAGTATAAAACATTAATGGCTGAATGTGTGGCTCAATTATTTTTTTTTTTTGTGACATGTTCAGATATGGTTGTTCGAGCTGGCTAGATAAATTTAATCGTTCAGGTTGGTTGGCCAAGTTATTTGATCGAGTTGTTATGTTGAACCGACTCGTCATACTGGGCTAATTTGGAAGACGGTTTATCTCTTGACTTTAACCCGGTCTAGAGGTATTTGGCTATACAGTATCAATAATAGGAGTAACCCAACAATCTTCAAGCACAACTGTTATGTTGTTTATCTGCAGATTCCCCTATTAGGAGCTTCCAACCCATCTATATGGAACATTATTTTCATGGCAAAACTGAGAATGCTCTAGTGTTGCTTGAGTTTGAATCATCATTCTTATTTATGAATGGAATTACGAAAGTTTAGTTCAATATCGGATTCTATTGAAAACATCTGCTTTCAACATAAAGAAACATGACCCGACTTGGATGTTGTCGATGGCTATTAATAATGTCATTATCTAATGTCTTTATATGCATACACATTTAGGTTAGAATGTGGAATTAATCAGTGTAGGAGGCTTCTTTTGATGACACTTTAATTTAGAGAAATTTCACAATTTTTATGTATTTACATATCTAACACGTATGGTTTAATATTTACATTTATCACATTTTGGTATTATAAACTTATGTATGAAACGGTGTATTTCACTTTTAAAATATTAATAATAGCAGTATTTTTTGTGTGATGTTAAAGATTTGAGTGCAACACATGAAAGTTTAGGTGTTAGATACATAAATAAATAAGAATTGTGTTTTATATATGTAAATTCCCCTTATATTTATTAGCAATTTACTTTTAGTAGACATTTTTTTATAATTGTATGGTCTCTTTCGGTGGCCCTGGTCGAGAAGTGCTTACTGAAGCTTTATCTGTTGTTCTGATGACTGTAAAATATTTTTTCATGTGCATGTACAACTTGTATGAATTTGAATGATTTATTCAGATCCTTGCTTTTGTATTGCTCTTTGCATCATGTGCGCTATTACCATAAAAATTGACTTCACCTTACCATTTTTGGTTATTTTATCATGCATAAGTCACAAATGATGCAAAAACATGCTGATTATTTTCAATTAGCGAATGGAACAGTGGAATTTGGGTAGATGCATACCAACAAATATCCCACCAACTCAATTTTTCCTTCAGAAGAATGCCCAGCAACTGCTATTGTGGCTTCATAATACATTTGAGAATTAATATATATTGAAATTAAAATTGGGAACTACTTATGACTAGCGGTATGTGATTAAGATTCTTTCTCATGCTACCATGCTAGATATATTTCTAGTCATTTTAAAGGTTTTTTATGGTTTTGAATAGTTGCTTGTGAATTTCAGAGCAGGAATATATGGAATGATTTCATCTTGAAATGACATCTCTTAAGAGCGGTCTGCTTCATGAAAATAGAACATTGCATTATGAAGGCCCACAAGTTTTTCCAGGTAGCTTCTACTTCAAGAAACTAATAATTACATTGGAATTAAGAAATATATCTTGCTGCCTGCATGCATTTTGTTTTCATAGAAATAAAAGATTTCTGTCAAGTGGATTGGGAACAAAAAATACCAATATGGAGGCCCATATTAGGATTGTCGAATAGAAAATGTCATATTGAAGAGTGAGGTGGAGATCATGTTGCTGGTGATAGGGAATTTGAAGGTTGAGAAAGGAAATACAATTGTTATTATGGAGATCAGAGGTGGAGAAAGCAATGATGCTGCAACTTTGTTAGGTGTTTTACCCACAAATGTTTTTTATCCAGTTATTTTTCTCTGGTGCCCAACAATGCCTAATAGGCTAGATGGCATGATTGTAAATTCATTAAGAGTAAATGTGTTGCTATTTGCAATTCAATGGTTTTTTTTTCTGTTTATTAAATGATGTAAACTAAAAAGAGCAACTCTCTGAATACAATGACCTTAGAGATTTACTCAACCTTTATCGTAGTCAATAGTAAGGGGTTGTTTTTTTCTTTTTGAAGGGAGCAAGGGGATGTTCGGTAGTTGGGTTTTAGCAGGATTTACATAATATTTAATGTAAATCCACCAAACAAACAAAAAAATTGGATATATTGAATCTGCACTTCGCTAAATCCATTTTTTTTTTCCTTCGTTACTTTTTTAACGTATTAAATGTAAGTATTAGATGGATTTAACGGATTTAGTTTAATAAGAAAATCACAATCTAGATTTATTAAATGTAAGTATTAAATGGATTTAACGGATTTAGTTTAATAAGAAAATCACAGGGGTGACTTTATGCCAATCATCATAAACGAATTTAATGATTTAATCTTAAATTGAGCCAAACGTTATTCTGGATTTGATAAATCCGGATTTACCGGATTTACTAAATTCTATTTAACCCAAATCTGATAGGCAGCCAAACATCCCCTTAGGAGGTCATGATTCTCTACTTTATATGTGAAACCAAACTCAAAGGCTGTTAAAATTTGGTATAGCCCTATATTCTTCTACAAAATCCTTATGAATGTGTTAGGTTTGTAGGAATTAGTGGAAAAGTAATATTATATCTATTTTTCATTTAGTTTATTTTTACTTGATAAGAAATTGATTTTATTAAGAAAATAAGAACAAATACATAATTCTCTGTATGATTTTCTATCAATGAAGAGTTTTTTGTTTATTACGCTTGATAGGCTTTTGCCTTGTCATATAAAGTAGAGAATCACACGTTCTAAGCTTTTGCAGAGGCCTTTGAAATAATTGTGACAATAATATAGGCCCCAGTAATCTTAAAGGTCATGATATTATGAAATTTCTTGTTTTATTATTTAAATTTTTATCGACAAGCAAAAAGAAAATCTTTTTCAACTGTATTACCAATTGCTGAACAAAACTCAACGGAAAAAAATCATTTTTTTTTGGCATTTCATGTAGTCTATTTAGCATTGTTTATTATGTCATACAATTCATAGCTATGTAAGACTTAGGAGTATAAAATGTAGCTTGAGGTCAAGGCAAATGTATCTGGAACATGCTCTTTGCCACCCTTGATAATTAACATTTTCATTTTTTAAAGAAGTCAATATCATTAAGTATTCAAGGAAAATAAAACATCAAGGACATTTACTATGAATTAACAAAGCCATAAGAAAAATATAATAGGATAGAAATACAAAGTTTTTATTTTAGTCGCCTTGAAGCCTGGTAAAAGTAGGAATGTCAATAGGCATTCTTTTGATTCTTGTCCTTTTTGATATAGAAATTGTGAAATATTTTATCCACCAGAGAGTCAACACTCTGAAAGCTCAAATAAAAAATTAGATATTTTTTATTGGTTCACCAGTGGAAAGAGATTGATGTGTTTCAATAATGGTTCACCAGTGGAAAGAGATTGATGTGTTTCAATAACTTGCAAAGTCTTATCAGTGATAATTTCAGTAGATGGTTAGGTAATCAGCACGAAGGGGCTGGCAAGGATAGGAACATCTTTGAATTCTGATGAAAGAATTGAGAAATTATTAAGTGAATGGGAGAAAAGGACTTCAACATTTCAGTCATGAACAACATTTGCAACGTGGAGGCTTTGGCATAGGTGGCTTAATCACCTGAGGGAATAGAGGATCAGTTTCAAGAGTCATCAAGAACCACGAGCGAAGGAGATCAACAAACACCTTGGAGAAGTATTTGCATTGGAGTTGATGAAATAGGAACTGCAAATGATCCTCTAACAACAGATCAATGGAAGAGATTGACACGGTCTTGAACATGAACATCATAAAAAGAGTAGAAATATATTGATGGTGAGAAAGAAGAGGACAACGTGGAAATGTCAGGTACTAGAAGCTAGAGAGACTGATAGCGCATAAGACGCCTATGCTGTGAGGTGGCATCGACATTAATGATATTCAATAACAATCACAAAAATTTAAGCAGAAAACTACAGTGACATCTAAGCTACAAGTAACCACACAAAAATATAGGTTGTGGCCCTAATCGAGGAATCATGGTAGGCATTCAAAATTTAGTGCATGCCATCAAGAGTATTCATTACATGTGCATGTGTGCTTCCAAGGATCATTGCCAATTTTTTATGCTTTGATGACTTTCCAGATTATTTTCTCATTTGTTTTTAATGTTTGAGTTTTCATCTTGACATCACGAAACTAATCACCAAGTCAAATCCACTCAATTCTTTTTGGCTTGTTGTTATGAAAATATAAAGTTATGCTTCTCCATTGTACTTCATATCATTTTCAGAAAAAAAAAAGAAGGTTAGGGTATTTTGGTGGATTTTTGTACACTTTTAATGCGAATCTCATTGTCATATGCTTTGGTAAGTCACCAGAACTTTATTATTTGTTATTGTTAGTTGTGATTTTATCTTGATATAACTAGACCTATCTCCTAAGTTACAGTCAATCACTTTCATAAGGCTTATTGTTATAATCATATTAAGTTTTGCTATCATATTGGGTTGGAGATGAATGGACAATTTATATTATGGTTTGAGGAATGAGATAAAATTCAATTGTTCTTCTTTCTTCAACCTAAATTCATTGCTTTGATTGACCCTTGGCTTAAATTTATCTCACAATTATTTTACACCATTTAATACTTTATAGGATAATCTTTTGTAACTCCTTTAAAACTTCATGTCTTTATTGGCCTCTCCCTGCTAATTGATGGTTGTTATATGGAGCATAATTTCCGATCATTGACCGAGTAATGCCCATTAAACCCATTTTAATGTATTCTAGATTTTGGGAAATTTGTTAGAAATTTATCTCAGCTTAAAAAATTTATGAAATAAATTTCTAACAACTTCCTAAGCTTAGCCATATCTTAAAAATATAATATTTTTTGATAGCATGAGTATTAAAATGTAAATTTTCAAGATTAAAAAAATGTATATATCACCTAATTAAATTTTAAAATTATCGAATTAACTCTTATGGTTCATTATGACTGATGAACTTCCATTAGTAATTTATTAAGATTTAAGAATAGTAAAGATGTATTAGGTAGTTTTTAAACTACCCCCTCTTTCTCTCTCAATTTAACTAATCATTTAAAAATTCATTTATAAATAATTGAATTAAAAGCTTGTATAAGTGTTCGAACATGAACTATAAACAATTAGATATGATCAAATAGAACTGCTTAATTTGCTTAATAAAAATTATTGAAATATAATAATTATTATGAAAATTATTATTTCAATGCTTTTGAAATATTTTAACTCTAATTTCATCCTTTAGGTGGCAAATATAAGTAAGTATATTTTATGTCTTTTGGCTAATTTTCTTCATAATTGAAAAGCGTGAAGTTTAATAATTATAAATTTAGTCAATAAGTCATAAAGTTTATTTTTATCACTTAAATATCTTTAATTAATTATCAAGATGTTTTGATATGGCATCCAACCTTAAGGTGAAATCTTCACCTCTATGGCTCATAGGAATCTAGGTTAAAATATGTTCGTCTTCTTTTTCTTTACTCACTTCCAACTTGCATAGATGTGTGATTTAAAATTTTAAGAAAATTGCCCACATCTTCTTAATTTTATTTACTACATTAAAACCCGTAGACATATGATCACGAATTTTATGATGGGTTGTGTTCATTGTCTTTAGTTATGTATAATATGTTATCTCCTTTATAGGATCTCGAACCATAAAATGATATGATCTGTGTGGACTATACTCTTCCTCATTAGATTCTTTATAATCCTTAATGGTGAAACTCATAAGTCGTAAATGCGTTAGGAATTCTCTCAAATTATTAATGATTCAAAATTAACCCCCTTCCAACTTAATAAACTTGAGCACTCTTGTTCTCATATGTAACGAACATCAATCTAATTAGATATCCACCTACATAAGCTTAACACAAGCTAGATGTTTATACTAGGTGCATTCTTGGGAATTTTAGAGTTTGGATAAAATTAGCATTTGCATTTTCTAGTATATTGGCTTAGAGATGAAATGATAATTAGGCATATTGTTTAAACGTGATTACATACATTATGATAGATATGTCTTCATGTAAATGCTTGAATTACTAAAATGCTAAATTTTACTTGATTAGTATTGTACCAGGCAAATCAAAATTTAAAAAATATGTATGTATTCGTGTGCTTTTGCAAGCTTGATTTTAGTTTTATGTTTTTTTATATAGGAAAGACCAAATTTCAAACTTTTCAAGTCTCTTTAAGATTCAAGTTGAAATCCTAGCTTGATCACTTACATTTATATTAGATTTAGGTAAAAGATTGTATTCTATTGGTTTGTTATATCTCAATCATTGTCTAAGTTTAAATTAAATATCCATTAGTGTGATGCCATTAGTCCGTACTCTCAGCAGATCTCGAATAACAAAATCTTCATTGATATGAAATGGTAAGCCCTCGTTTTGTAATAATATGTTTAATTTAATCTTATGTTTTGATTTATAATTTTAAAAAATGAAGCCTAATATAGGAAAAGCTCTTTCACTATCCTTTCTTAGGGCCATGTACCCCTATTTCTTTGTCCTACGAATTCTACTATAAGTTTTGCTAAGACTGATTTCTTCTCAATTGATATTTTTAAAATCATATTCTTTTATACTAATTTTTGCATGTCTTTGAACATAGTAAAAATCCTTACAATGCAATTAATTATAAGAGTCCTCTATTTAAGAACATAACTAAGAGTTTTTCCTAGGGTAAAAATCTTACAATGCAATTAATTATAAGAGTCCTCTATTTATAGAAAAAACTCAACGTTGAATTTAAAAAGCATACTATGGCCATTAAATGCTAAGCATGGGAAATATTTAGGAAATATTTCGAGATAATATACATACTTATATTCAATTTTATGGTAAATGTTTGTTTTTTTGTCTTTTTGGGGTAGTCTAATACCCTTTTCAAAGAACTATTTAATACATGCCTACAAACTATTTTACTTTCTTATTTTTGGTGGCTAG